CAGCGCGGCATCGTGCGGCGTCCCTTTCCGACGCCCGCCAGGAGTTCGCGGCGGGGGTGGGGGAGAACTATCGTCGCCTTTCCGCGGAGGAGCAGCGGGCGGGGGTGTCGCTGATTCTCGACATCGCCTCCTTGATGGAGCAGGTCGAGGTGGTGGAGGAATCGCAGACGATGGTGCGCCACGATCGACTTGAGGCGCAGCGGCTGCTCCGTCAGTTCGCGCAAGACGGCGACCTGGTCGCCCTCCACACGCTCAAAGACGTCTGGGAGGAAAAGTTGGAGGCGGCGAAGACGGCGGCAGGGAAGCAAACGGTCTTTCTGAACTAACGGAAGCACCACTGGAGGTGGCGAGATCGTCAACTCCGTCATTGCGTTGAGCAGGGAGGAGGGGAGAGGGGGAGAGGGGTTGCGTGCTATCTTTTGCATACGTCTGATGGATAAGATACTTGTGGTGTGGATGGTTTTTGGTTTGTGCGTATGTTGTAGTTTCTTTTTGTTTCAGCGATTGCCTTTATCTGCTGGGTTAAGGCGGGCATACACGCCCGACGTGTGACCTGATTAGCGCTAAGAAGTAGTGGAGGAACCTCAATGAAATGCAATCATAAGGGCAACCATACAAGCGACTAATGGTTCGTAGTAGGGAAGGCATGAGCCCCATATACATTGACATGTCCATCCCACCTCTCTATCCTTTTGGTTTTGCTATGAAATCGTATGTTTTTTTCCCCCTCCCCTTTTGGGCTTTCCCGCATACAATGCCTGGCTGAGCATTTTTTAGTTCTGCAAAAGAAACGCATAGACGTATTTGCATAGAGAGATCCCATTGCGGTGAAGTGGAGAAGGAAACCCATTAGCAAGACTGATATTCGCGACCTATTCTTGATCCCCAGGGAGAATGCCGCGCGAAATCATCACACTCCAGGCCGGGCAGTGCGGCAATCAAGTCGGTAGCGAGTTTTGGCGGCAACTCTGCTTAGAACACGGCATCCGGCTGGATGGGGTGGTGGAGCCCTTCGCGATCGGCGGTGACGACCGCAAGGACGTCTTTTTCTACCAAGCCGATGACGACCACTACGTGCCGCGCGCGCTGCTGATCGATATGGAGCCCCGCGTGATTCATTCGATTCAACGCGGCGCGATGCAGAAGCTGTTCAACGCGGAAAACGTCTTCATCCACCAGGAAGGTGGGGGGGCGGGGAATAACTGGTCGCACGGCTACGAGCTCGGCGACCAGGTGCAGGAGACGCTCTTCGACATGATCGAGCGCGAGGCGGAGAACAGCGACAGCCTCGAGGGCTTCGTCCTGACGCATTCCATCGCGGGCGGAACGGGGAGCGGGATCGGGAGCTACCTCCTCGAGAACCTCAGCGATCGCTTTCCGAAGAAGCTCACGCAGACGTACAGCGTCTTCCCGAATCAATCCCGCGGTGGTGAGAGCGATGTCATTGTGCAGCCCTACAACAGTCTCCTCGCGATCAAACGGCTCACCCTCCACGCTGATTGCGTGGTCGTCCTCGATAACACCGCGCTGAATCGCGTCGTAACGGATAACCTCCACATCCCTTCCCCCACGGTCGAGCAGATGAACGGGCTGGTGAGCACCGTGATGGCGGCGTCCACCGCCACCCTGCGTTATCCAGGGTATATGAATCACGACCTCATGAGCATGCTCGCCTCCCTGATCCCCACCCCACGCTGCCATTTCGTCTGCACGGGCTACACCCCGACAACGCTCGACACCTCGAATATCCAATCCGCGGTGCGAAAGACCTCCGTGCATGACGTCATGCGGCGGCTGTTGCTGCCGAAGAATATGATGGTATCGACCTCGATGAAGAGCGGGTGCTACATCTCCCTGCTCAACCTCATCCAGGGCGATGTCGACCCCGCCCAGGTGCATCGCTCCCTCGAGCGGATCCGAGAGCGGTCGCCGAACTTCATCCCGTGGGGTCCGGCGTCGATCCAGGTGATTCTCTCGCGGAAGTCGCCGTATTTGGATACCCGGCATCGCGTGAGCGGGCTCGTGCTCGCCAACCACACCAGCATTCGCACCCTCTTTCAGCGCACGCTGAAGCAGTTTGATACGCTTTTCGGTCGAGGCGTCTTTCTCGATCAATACCGCAAGTATGGCCCGACGAAAGAAAGCTTGGACGAGTTCAAGGATTCCAGAGAGGTGGTGGATACGTTGATTGAGGAGTACAAAGCCTGCGAAGGGTCGGATTACATCCGAAACTTTTAAGATCTTTATAGAAGATAATACGAGAGATGAGGAAAGGGGAGGGGGGGGGAGAGGGGAGAGGTTATCGGACGGGAATGCAGGGATAGATAATGAAACTTTTAGATGTGTATTCATATAGAGGGGTCCTAAATTGCAGAAGAGAGCAGAATTATTGTACCAGAAAAAGTTCCCACCATGCAGGCTGAGGAGGGAGGGGTTTTAGGTTCCATTTTGCAGAAGCTGGGTCTTTCCTCCTGTTTATATATATATATATATATATGTATATATATATATATTCCCTTATGAAAGAGATTGCCCTTCTCCCCTAACACAATCTCACTGGACGCGGTATCCGTTGTAACAGGAAGAGGGATCGTGATTTTTACGGAATCGAGCATACGGTCCGGGCAACATTTCTGCTTACAAACAGAGTCATTGTTTTGGTTTGCTTCTTGTATTTGATTGTGATTTTCCCTTATCTCACTGCTGGGCACTAACGGAATCTCCTCCCAAAGCTGCTTGTTTGCCTTTCCCTTCCCCTTTCCCCTCCGATGGGCTACGGCAGCGTCGATCTCTTATTCTTAGTATGAGCAAAGGAAAAGAGTGGTGATGATCACCTCCTATCCATCATAGTTCACGCGGTGAGAACGCCCAGGCTAGGATCTGAGGGTTTCTGGAGGGAAGGGAAGGGGGATACGTATATTGATTGCTTTGTTTTTACTTTATAAATGGTTGTTCTTATGGTTGCTGATCTTTAGGGGAGACGAAACGCGGAGGTGAGCACTTCATGCACCGTGATAATGTGTACCTAGAACTAGATGGCCTATATAGAATGCTTGAAGCTTCGCTGCTGGATGATTAATTGCGAACCTTTCTACGAAGATGCCTTGTTAGTCAGATTAGTGGCAGAAACATGGAGAATGGTGTGGTGTGCTCAATTCTGAGATTAGGGGTACATCTCGAAGTAGGTGGCGTCTTTGATATGATCTTTAACCATTTCCAATGCAAAACGTATTTCGACATGACTTTTTCCCCCCTATTGACTGCCATGCGCGTCGACCTCTTATGAAAGGGACTCGTTCAGTAAGATAGTGGGGGGATATCGTTACCATATGAACCTACAGCAGAAAAAGGGAGTTCACCATCGCCCCCTCGAAAAAAAAATGCTTAATTCACTTTCGATGAATTTGAAACCATCACTACATAAGAAAATATTGGATGAAGGTATTCTTCCACGGGGGTGCACATACGTTAGATTACTCCATCCTTTTTTTTTTTATGAGGATGAAGAAAACGCACCTAGAGAGCTTGATGATTATGTTTTTGCACATTTCAAATGGTAGTAATAAATTTTCCCTCTCTATATATATATATTTTTCTATATATGCGTAACGCGTTTGGATTGTGCTCTGCTTTTCCTCGTTATCGTATCCCTCTCTCAAGTCCTATGATATTCTTCCAATGTCTTCATCTAACGTTATGGCTTACTTTTTCTCTTTATTATTGTCTCCGACATTTTTTGAAGTGGTGATAAGCAAGGCCCTCTTCCGAATTGTAATAAATTGATTCCTTTAGAGAGCAAGCTAAAACGTAAAAAAAAAAGGAAAAGCAAACAGTCGTTGTTGAGGTTATCCCTTTGGTTTGTGTGCGTGTGAACGCGTAGATTTTCTCAGAAAGTTTTGTTTTAAGTTATTCAAACTATTAGTTTCAGTATTTTTTCCCCTTCCAGCAGTTCCCCCCGCTACGGTGGATTCCTTGTAGACAAAAAAGAAACCGTTCCGGAGATATCAAGAAACCGTCATCGAAGGGAAGCAAATAATAGCCAGGTCCACGGGTTTTTTCTATCGATCCCAGCCCCACCCCGGTTTGATTTAGACGTTGCGTCTCGTCGATTCTTCTTTGCACGTTCCGGATCGAATCCGCGAAGATGGGGACGACGGATGGTCTAAGCTACGAGAACGGCGACCCCCCGCGTTCCGATGCGACCCATCAGTACATCTTCAATCGCGTCTGCGATTTCTTCGCCTGCGGCGACGCCGCGAAGCTGGAGGAGCTTCGTCGGCAGCTTCGCGTGAACTTCGCGGACGGCTCGCCGAATTTCATGGAGGTGCACCGCATGCTCCTCGGGACCGGCGCGAACACGCTTTTGTTTGTCTACCAACCCTCCGACGAGGACGGGGCCGGGGCGGAGGACCTCCTCCGCGTGCTCGACCCCGCGCGGAGCTCCGTCGCGCACGTCTACAAACGCTCCGTCTACCTCCTGCGCCCGTCGAACCAGCGGGCGATCAGCCCGAAGGACGTCGCGCAGGCGGTGCAGGAGCTCAACATGGGGATGCTCCCCGCCGACGTCCTGACGAGCTACGAGCACCTCTTGACGGAGGTCTACACCCCGTTGCTGAGCCGCATGCAGGCGTGGGGGGATAACACGCTGGAGGATCGCAACCACTTCATCGCGCACCTCGTCCGCTACGCCGATCGGGTGGCGGAGCTGCAGCGGATGCCGAACGACCCGATCCGCCTCCCCGCGATCGACGAGCGGACGTGGGAGCGGCTCCAGGGCGGCGGCCCCCACCCCCGCGGCGGGAGCGGCGACCCCGACGTCGTGCAACCCCTCAGCGAGACGGTCCAGCGGTGGATCGAGGTCGTCGGCGAGGTCGTCGCGCAGCAGCCGAATTACGAGGCGGAGCTGCTCGACGAGAACGCCGGGCCCCGGACGGAGGTGGAGCTGTGGCGGAAACGCCTCGCGTACTTGCAGCTCGTGGAGACCCAGCTCGAGCGGGTCGCGGCGCCGCACGCGATTCAATACCTCCGGCGCATCCACAGCCCCCTCGTGGGGAGCTGGACGGAGACGGACGCGCTCCTCACCGAGGCCCTCGCGGAGGCGCGTGAGAATGTGAAATACCTCCAGTCGTTGGATAAACACATCGATGTATTATACACGTCCAACCTGAATGATATCATCAACGTGCTCCCGCCGCTGATCTCGAATATTCGGATGATGTACATCATCGCGTGCTACTATCCCACCCGGGAGCACATGACGGCGCTGTTTTTTAAGATCACCAACGCACTCGTGCTGGCGTGCAAGCGGGCGATTAACCCGTCGGGGATTCGCGCGCGGATATGGGATATGATTCACACCCAAAGCACCCTCCAACAGCTGCTGGAGCCGTTGCAGACAAGCGTGCGGCTGAACGAGGTCTACGTCTCGGAGTATCGCAAAGCGCAGCAGATTCTGGAAAGTCAAGGCAGCAGTCGGCTGTTCGACTTCGACGAGCTCCGCTTTATGGGGCATTTTAACCTCTTCGTGAAGCGCGTCGATAAGCTGATGGTGGTGTTCCGCAAGGTCGAGCAGTTCGCGCTGCTGCGGGATTACCACATCGACGCGATGGAGAGCCTGATCCCGCGGTTTGAGGATTATCTCGGACATTTGCGCGGCAAGACCACCGATATCCTCGACATCCACGACAACAACAAGTTCGACGTGGAGTTTAAGATCTTCGAGACGCGGCTGGCGGAGCTGGAGACGTCGATGCAGGTCGCGATCAACTCCTCCTTCGAGAACATCACCTCGACCGAGAAGGCGCTGATGCTTTTGAGCAAATACCAACGCATTCTCCAGTCCGAGACCTTCGCGGCGGATCTGGAGTCGAAGTACCTCGTCATCTTCCACAGCTACGGCCTCGAGTTGGAAAAGGATCAGAAGAACTACGAGCGCTACAAGGCGAACCCGCCGATCGCGCGCAACATGACGCCCGTCGCGGGCGCCATCAGCTGGGCCCGGCAGCTCCTCCGCCACATCAAAGAACCGATGGATCGCTTTAAGGATAACCGCACCGTCATGGCGAACACGAAGGATAGCAAGAAGATCATCCGCACCTACAACAAGGTCTCCATCGCGCTGCTCGGATTCGAGGCGATTTGGGTGGACGCCTGGCGGCGGTCGATCGAATCGCAGCGCGCCGGGCTGAACGCGACGCTGCTCGTACGCCACGAGGGGCGGCTCTACGTGAACTTCGACAGCGAAATCCCGCAGCTCATCAAGGAAACCCGGGCGTTGATGCTGCTCGGGGATATCGAGATCCCCGCGGCCGCCCGCACCCTCCCCTTGCAGGAGCAGAAGCTCAACACCTTTTACAACGAGCTTAGCTATCTGGTGAGGGAGTATGAGCACGTGGTGGGGCGCCCGGGAGGGGCGCGCTGCAAGATTATCGGCATCACCCGACCGCTGCTGCAGCCGATTATCGACGCCTTGGATGCGATCTTCCGCCCAGGCGAAACGACCCTGACGTGGAGTTCGATGAACGTCGATGCGTACCTCGAACGCGTCCGCGCCGCGATCGACGCCGTCGATGCCCTCGTTACGAAGGTAAACGACATCATCACGAATCGAATCCAATGCAACCTCAAGACGGTCTCCACGATGCTGCTGGTGAACCTCTTTGAGGAGCATTTCTCGCTGGATCAGTTCGTGCAGGTGCAGGAACGTTTTATCCGGCAGCAGTGCGAGGCGATGGATATCAAAACCCGCGAAATCGAGAGCGCCGTCGACGACGTCATCAGCGCGATCTTAAAGGGAAATAAGGAGCTGTTCAAAGGGCGGGAGGTGGCGATAGAGACGTCGCCGATGAGCGGGCGGTTCTCCAGCTCAGGCAACAGCGTGAGCACGGGGCTGGAGGATTACCACCACCACCGCCAGGATGTCGAAACGCAGGAAAAGGTCACCACCCTCAAAGGGCATTTTAGCAATCTTATGCTCAAGGCCATCCTCACCTGCACGACGCGCTCGCTGAATCTGCTGCGGAAGCGCGTCGGGGCGAAGAATCGGGTGACCTTTTTGTTTCAGCAGAAGCCCTTTTTTGACGTCGATGTGCAGCTGATCAATGCGGAGCCGTACGTCTTTCTGAACCCCTCGCTTGACGAGGTGCAGCGGACGATTAACCAGTGCGCGACAGCGGTGCTCTCCTGCACGCGCTACATCACGCGCTGGAAGGATCTCCCGGAAGGGACCCCCTCCTTTCACGAGGATATCGCGAAGAATAAGGAGGTGGTGAAGGTTGTGCTCCAGCTCACCGGCAGCGTGCACGGGTTGAAGAAGCACATCATGGAGTACCTCTCGCACTTCCGCAAGTACGAAGGCCTTTGGAAGGAAAATCAGAACGAAACCTACGCCGCCTTCCTGGCGACCGACCCGGTGCTCGATGATTATGAGGCGAAGCTTCAGATGTTCGTCGCCCTCGAGCACGAGATCCAGAACCTCGCGCCGTTCTTTAACATCGGCAGCATGTCGTTGCGAAATAAACCCCTCAAGGATGAAATTCTCCAGCGCGTGCGGGAGTGGAAGGAGATGTACATCAACAAACTCTACGCCGTCTCGCAGAACAAGCTGGACTCGCTCACGCACCGCATGGAGGAGGAATCGCGGCAGCTGAGTGTGAACCTCCCCGATCAGGATAAGCTCGAGGAGCTCCGGGTGCTGATGAACACGCTGAAAGATATCCGAAACCGCGAATCCCTCGTCGACTTCCAGTTCTACCCCATCCAGCAAGCGTACGCGCTCCTCCAGCGCTACTCGAACGTGATCCCGAAGGAGGAGGCGGACCGCGTGGATGATTTGCGGTTTAAATGGCGAAACCTCCACCAGGCCGCCGGGCAGCGCACCGATGAGATCAACGCGATGCAGTTTAACTTCAAGAAGGGGCTCACGCAGGAGGTGCAGAAGTTCGGCGCCGAGGTGCTCGCGTTTCGCAACGACTACGACGCGAACGGCCCGATGGTGGAGGGGCTCCCCCCGCAGGAGGCGATGGAGCGGTTAAAACGCTACCAACGCCAGTTCGATGATAAATTTCGAAAGTGGCTTACCCTGATGGCGGGTGAGGAACTCTTCGGGCTCCCGCTGCACAAATACCCCGAGCTGGTGAAGACGAAGAAGGAGCTTGAGCTTCTCGATAAGCTCTACACGCTGTATATCAACGTCCTGCAGAAGGTGAACGGGTATAACGACATCCTCTGGTGCGATCTCAACTTCGACGCGGTTTGCGAGGAGGTGAGCGTGTTCGTCAGCCAATGCAAGCGGCTGCCGAAGTCGCTGCGGGAGTGGGATGCGTACAAGGTGCTGAAACGCATCCTCGACGACTTCATCGAGCTCCAGCCGATCATCGAGGAGTTGAAGAACCCCGCGGTGGTGGAGCGGCATTGGCAAGAGATTATGAAGGTGACGGGGCATAAATGGCGGACCGATCCGGATCTCTTTAAGCTGCAGGACCTCGTCGACGCGAATCTGCTTCGTGTCGTGGACGAGGTCGTCGATATTGCGACCTCCTCCGTGCGGGAGGCGGAGATCGAGGCGAAGTTCCGCGCGCAGGAGCTGCTGTGGAAGGATCAGGAGCTTCACTTCTCAGAGTTCAAACACCGGGGGCCGATCGTGCTGAAAGGCGACGACACTATGGCGATCCGCGAGGCCTTGGAGGAGTCCTCGCTCGCGGTGAACTCCATGCTCTCGCTGCGGTATTGTGCGTTTATGCGGGATACGATCCAGAGCTTTCTGAAGAAACTCGTCAAGGTGAGCGAGTCGATCACGCTGTGGACGGAGGTGCAGGCGACGTGGCAGTACCTCGAGGCGGTCTTCGCGGGCGGCGACATCATGAAGCAGCTCCCGCAAGAGGCGAAGCGCTTCGCCATGATCGACAAGCAATGGCAAAAGATCATGAACAAGGCGAACGAGACGCCGAACGTGCTGGAGTTCTGCTACGAAAACGAGCTCCTGCAGAACTTCCCGAACCTCAAAGAGCAGCTCGACGAGTGCCAGCGGAAGCTCTCGCTTTACCTGGAGCAGAAGCGGAACCTCTTCCCGCGGTTCTACTTCGTCTCGGATACGGTGTTGCTGGAGATCCTCTCGCAGGCGAGTGACCCGCAGTCGATTCAGCCGCACCTCTCCTCCATCTTCGACGGCCTCGCCGCGGTGACGTTTGAGCGGGTGAAGCCGAAGGAGACGAACGCGCAGCCGTACATGCAGATCGTCGAGATGACCTCCGCGGAGGGCCAGGCGCTGCGGATGCGGGAGCCCACCGCGTGCGTCGGGAACGTCGAGGAGTGGCTCACCCGCCTCTGCGCGGCGATGACCGTGACCGTGCGCGAGGTCGTCAAGGCCAGCGTGACGGAGCTCGGCACCCTGCTCGCGAACACGGCCTACCTCGGGACGATCATCGAGCGCTACCCCGCGCAGGTCTCCTTGTTGATGCTGCAGTTCTTCTGGACGGCGGACGTCACGGAGTGCATCACGAAAGGGATTATGAGCAGCCGCGGACGGGAGTCCGCCGCGGCCCGCGCGAAGTGCGACGCCGTGAAGAACTTCCTCGTCAACCTCACCACCTCGCCGGAGCTGGAGAGGAAGCCGCTGCGGATGCGCACCAACGTCGAGACGCTCATCACGATTCAGGTCCATCAACAGGAGGTCTTCATCGAGCTCCAGCGCGCCACGATTAAGGATATCACGCACTTTGACTGGCTCAAACAGGCCCGGTTTTATTACAAACCGGAGCGCGACCTCACCCTCATCTCCATCGCCGATTCCGATACGGAGTACTGCAACGAGTACCTCGGGGTGAAGGAGCGGCTGGTGATCACGCCGCTCACCGATCGCTGCTACATCACCCTCTCGCAGGCGCTGGCGATGTATATGGGAGGCGCCCCCGCCGGCCCCGCGGGGACGGGAAAAACGGAAACCACCAAAGATCTCGCCCGCACCTATGGTAAGTTTTGCGTCGTGTTTAACTGCTCCGACCAGCTTGATCGGCATGCGATGGGGAAGATCATCCGCGGGCTCTCCCAGGCGAACGCCTGGGGCTGCTTTGATGAGTTCAACCGCATCGATCTACCGGTGTTGTCGGTCGTCGCGCAGCAGGTGAGCTGCGTCCTGCAGGCCCTCAAGCAGCACAAGGAGAAGTTCATCTTTATTGACGGCCAGATCACCGATCTGATGCCCGGGGTGGGGTTCTTCATCACGATGAACCCCGGCTACGCCGGGCGGCAGGAGCTGCCGGAGAACCTGAAGATTCTCTTCCGTGGTGTAACTATGATGGTGCCGGATCGCCAGACGATCATGAAGGTGAAACTGGCCGCGCAAGGCTACAGCAAGGACGATCTCCTCAGCAAGAAGTTCTTCATCCTCTACAAGCTCTGCGAGGAGCAGCTGTCGAAGCAGCGGCATTACGACTTTGGGCTTCGGAATATCCTCTCGGTGCTGCGCACCGCCGGCGCGGTGCTGCGGAAGAACCCAAACAAAGACGAGGAGGATCTTTTTATGCGCACCCTGCGGGATATGAACCTGTCGAAGCTCGTTTTTGAAGACATCGCGCTCTTCGACTCCCTCTTGCGGGATATGTTCCCGGGCCGTCAGGCCGCCAAGGGCTCCCACCCCGAGATCGAAGGCGAGCTGCGGAAGCTCATCGAAGGGAAGGGTCTGATCTACTGGACGCCGTGGGTGAGCAAGGTGCTGCAGCTTTATGAGACGAAGCTGGTACGGCATGGCATCATGGTCGTCGGCCCCGCGATGTGCGGTAAGACACAGTGCTACGACGCGATGACGGATGTGCTCTCCCGCACGACGGTCCCCCATCAGCAGCTCCGCATGAATCCGAAGGCGATCACCGCGCCGCAGATGTTTGGCCGCGTGGATGTCTCCGGGGATTGGCATGACGGCGTGTTCTCCGCCCTCTGGCGGCAGGCCGTCCGCGCGGCGAAGAAGAAGAACGTCTGGATCGTCTGCGACGGGCCCGTCGACGCGATCTGGATTGAAAACCTTAACACGGTGCTGGATGATAACAAGCTGCTCACGCTCGCGAACGGGGATCGAATTCAGATGACGGATACGATGAAATGCTGCTTTGAGATGGAGAACTTGGCGAACGCATCACCGGCGACGGTCTCGCGCGCGGGTATCGTCTACATTTCGGACGTCATCCTCGGCTGGCGCCCGGTACTCGAGTCGAGGCTGAAGGCGAAGGTGCAGTCGGATGGCAACATCCTCCCGTCGGATGTGCATAAGGTGTGCAATCCGCAGCTCGCGGAGAAGCTGCTCGAAGTGTTTCTCTCCGGCAGCGACGCGAACGGCAACTCCAAAGACGCCCTGCTCACCGATCAGATCGCGGAGTTTTACACCAAAGAATGCCAGCTCATCATGCGAACGTCGACCGCGCATCTCGTGCAGAACGCCTTTCATCTCGCGGTCGCCCTTGGGGAAGAGATCGGCGAGGGGGTGGAGGTAAACGACGTGTTGGTGGAGAAGATCTACTGGTTTAGCATGTCGTGGGCCTTTGGCGGGATGCTCGGAACGAAGGAGCGCGAGCGGTTCGACCAGTTCGTGCGGACCAAGTTCACCAACCTCCCTCCGTCCACGGCGGGGATGATCTTCGATTTCTCCCTGAACTGCAAGAACGGGGAGTGGGAGAGCTGGGGGAACTTTGTGGAGCCGTGGAAGTACCCAAGCGACGACCGATTGGACTTCTCCACGCTCTTCATCCCCACCGCCGACTCCGTTCGGCTGCACTACCTCACCCGATGCAACGCGATGCAGATGCGGCCGACGCTGCTCATGGGCGTGAGCGGCACCGCGAAGACGGTGACGATGGAGAAGTTCCTCGACAAGGCGAAATCGCAGGTCGAGCAGCGGAACTTCCGTAAGGTGAACTTCTCCTCCATGACGACGCCGCAGAACTTCTACAACACCCTCGAGGATATGACGGAGAAGAAGATGGGGAATACCTATGGCCCGAAGAACTGTGATGCCATGACCGTTTTCATCGACGATATCAACATGCCCGAGATTAACGAGTGGGGCGATCAGATCACGAACGAGATCGTGCGGCAGGTGATCGAGCTCAATCAGGTCTACGACCTCTCCAAACCTGGTGTGTATAAGGTCCTGAAGGGGATGGATTTCATGGCGGCGATGTCGCACCCGTCGGGTGGCAAAAACGACATCCCCAACCGCCTGAAGCGCCACTTCTCCATCTTCAACGTCCCCCTCCCGGAGGAGAGCAACATCCAGCAGATCTTCGGCACCATCTTTGAGGGTCGCTTCTCCAACGGGAACTACTCGCAAGGGGTGCAGGACATCGCGCGGATGCTCACCACGATGTCGATCAGCTTCTGGGAGGCCATCGTCAAGCGCATGCTGCCGACGCCCGATAAGTTTCACTACTTCTTCAACCTTCGCGATCTGTCGAACATCACGCAGGGGGTGATGCTCGCCGGCATGTTCGCCGACCCCGACCGCCCGGAGAAGCGTGCGCAGAGCAAACCGTGGGAGATCATCACCGACCCGCTGAAGCTGCTTCAGATCTGGAAGCACGAGTGCGCGCGGGTGTTTAGCGATAAACTGAACAGCGTGCAGGATAAGAAGTGGTTCGACGCCCACATCCAGGATTGCATCACCGCGCATCTCGCCGGAACCCCTTATAAGGACCTCGCCGATCAGGTGCAGGCGCCGATCTACATGGCGAACTTCCTGCGCGATCCGATCTACGATCCGGAGACGGGTGAGCTGGCGGAACCCGCGCCGCGGATTTACGAGCCCGCGCCTTCGATGACCGCGATCCTCGACCGCCTCGTGGCGGCGATGAAAGCCCACAACGAAACCCCCGCCGGGCGCGTCCGAAAGCTCAACCTCGTGCTCTTCGATGCAGCGTTGAAGAACGTCTGCCGCGTCTCCCGTGGGCTCTCCTTGCCGCGCGGGAATCTCCTCCTGGTGGGGGTGGGTGGGAGCGGCAAGCAATCCCTCGCACGCCTTGCCGCCTTCGTGAATAACTACGACTACGCCACCCTCACGATCTCCAAAGGATTCAGCGTCAGCCAACTCTTCGACGCGATTCGCGAGCAATACATCTCGGCGGCGACGAAACGCCCGGTGATGATGCTCTTCACCGACAACGACATCAAACAGGAGATCTTCCTCGAGTACATCAACTCCTTCCTTTCCAACGGTGAGATCGCGGGGCTCTTCGCGAGCGACCAACGTGACTCCGCGATTAATGAGATTCGCAACGTCATGAAGAAGGATCCGTACGCGAAGTTTGAGGATATGAGCGAGACGCTGTGGAAGTACTTCATCAACCGGGTGCGGGAGCGGCTTCACTTTGTGCTCTGCTTCTCCCCAGTCGGGGAGCGGTTCCGGACCCGCGCGCGGAAGTTCCCCGCGCTCGTCTCCACCTGCATCATCAACTGGTTCTTCCCGTGGCCCAAACAGGCCTTGCTGAATGTGTCTTCCCGCACGATCAAGAACTTCGCGGCGGCCACGGATAACAAAACGAAGGCCGCGCTGGTCGAGCTCATGGCGGAGATCCACACCCTCATGCTCGAGCGTTCGGAGGAGTACCTCCTGCGGTATCGCCGCTCCGTCTACAGCACGCCAAAGTCCTACCTCAGCTTTATCGACTCCTTCACGACGGTGTATGAGAAGAAATACCGCCAACTCAACGAGGAGGCGATGAAGATCAACAGCGGGCTGAAGAAACTCCACCAGGCGGCCGAGGACGTCCGCGTGATGCGGACGCAGCTCCAGGAAAAGGAGATGCTCCTGAGCAACAAGCGGAAGGAAACGGACGTACTCGTGAAGGAGATCGAAATCCACACCGCCGAGGCGGAGAAGAAACGGGCGGAGGTGGAGTTGGTGAAGGAGAGCGTCGCGAACGACGCGGCGATCGTCGCGCAGGGCGAGGCCGAGGCGAAGAAGGACCTCGAGGCGGCCGAGCCCGCCCTCATTGAGGCCATCGAATCCCTCAACTCCATCACCGCGCAGGACTTCGTGACGCTGAAGAAACTCGCGAATCCGCCGGCGCTGATTAAGCGCATTTTCGACGCCGTATCGGTGCTGCTGCACCGCCCGCTCCTCGTTCCGGGCTGCGAGGTCGTGAAGGGGACGCTGTGGATCACCGACTCGTGGGATTTCAGCGGCCGCCAACTCGCCTCCGACACCTCCACGCTCGACCTCCTCAAGGATTTCGGGCAAACCCGCAAGGATAACATCAACGAGGAGACCTGCGAGCTGCTGCTGCCGTACCTGTGGATGGAAGGGTTCACCGCCGACGCGGCGCGGAAGGCCTGCGGGAATGTCGCGGGCCTCTGCACGTGGGTGAGTAGCATGTACAAATACATCAACATCGCGAAGATCGTGGCGCCGAAGAAGGAGGCCTTGCGCATCGCCACCATCAAACTCCGGGGCGCGAACAAGAAGAAGGAGGAGCAGGAGCAGGAGCTCGCGCGGGTGACCGCCGAGGTTCGCGAGTTCAACGCCCAGTTGTTGACGGAGAACGCGAAGAAAAAGGCCCTCGAGGATGACGCGATGCGAACGAAGCAGCGGATGGACAGCGCGAATGGCCTCATCGACGCCCTTTCCGGCGAGCGGGAGCGGTGGACGCAACAGAGTAATGAGTTCAAAACGCTCATCACCCGCCTCGTCGGCGACGTCGCGCTGAGCTGCGCGTTCATCAGCTATTGCGGTCCCTTTAACTCCGAATTCCGCACCCAACTGCTCTACGATTACTTCTACCCCAAGTGCAAGCAGTTGGATATCCCGGTCACGCCGGATATCAACATCGTCAAATTTCTCGTCGACGAGACGACCATCGCGGACTGGCAGCTCGAGGGCCTCCCGGTGGATAGCCACTCCGTGCAGAACGCCATCATGATCACGACCAGCTCCAAATTCCCGCTCATGATTGATCCGCAAGGGCAGGCGCTGAACTGGATTCGCAAGCGGACGGAATCGCAGCTGAACCGGCTCGTTCAGATGGCCGACCGGAGCTTCCCGAATCACCTGCAGGAGCTGATGGATAAGGGCGGCGCGCTCATCATCGAGAACGTCCCGGAGGAAATCGACCCGATGATCGACCCCGTGCTCGAAAAGCAGATCGCGCGCAGCGGCAAAACCCAGATCATCCGAATCAACGGTGAGGAGATGACCTACAACGATAAGTTCAACATGTTCATGGCGACGAAGCTGCCCAACCCGAATTTCACCCCCGAACTTTTCGCGAAGTGTCTGGTGATCGACTTCACCGTCACGATGGAGGGTCTCGAGCAGCAGCTCCTCTCACACGTCATCGGGCGCGAAAAGGCCGAACTCAACGAGGAGAGCGCGAAGCTGAACGAGGACATCAACAGCAACGAGAAGCGCCGCAAGAACCTCGAGGATCGCCTGCTCAAACAGCTGAGCGAATCCCAAGGCAACCTCATCGACGACGTCGATCTCATCAACACGCTTCAGGAGACCAAAGACGCATCGGCGGATATCGCGGAGAAGCTCGCGACGGCCTTCGAAACGAAGAAACGCATCGCGGGGGCCTGTGAGGAGTACCGCTCCGTCGCCTGTCGTGGCGCCGTGTTGTACTTCCTGGTGGTGCAAATGTCGCTCGTCAGCAACATGTATCAAACCTCCCTCGTTCAGTTCAACGGCGTCTTTGATAATGCGATCCTCAAGTCGGATCATCACGCCCTCACGACGAAGCGCATCACCATCATCATCGAATACCTCATGCAGGCCGTCTTCAAGTACATCATCCGCATGCTCTTCTCCAAGCACCGACTCCTCTTTGTGCTGCTCATGGCCTGCAAGATCGAGATCAAGGCCGGGCGGCTTGACAACACCGCTTTCGAGGTCTTCCTCAAGGGCGGCGGCGCGATGCAGGTGGATCGGGCCAAACCATTTGGCTGGATTAAAGATAAGGTCTGGGCGAATATCAACGCCGTCGCGCAGCAGGTGCCGCGCGCGTTCAAGCAGCTCCCTGACCTCATCATCCGCAACGAGCAGCAATGGCGGCAGTTCATCGAGTCGGAGTCGATCGAGACGCAGGTCGTTCCGGATATCAACGATAAGATCGACGCGTTTGAGCGTTTGGTGTTGGTGCGCGCGCTGCGGGAGGATCGCACGATGCTCGCGGCCACGCAGTACGTCTCGCAGATCCTCGGCAAGGAGTTCGCGGAGCCGCAGCTGCTGGAGTTGTTGGATGTCGTCGAGGAGACGACCGGGGTGACCCCGATCTTCTTCCTGCTCTCGCAGGGCTCGGACCCGACGACCCTCATCGAGGCCTCCGCGAAGAAGCTGAAGAAGAAGATCTACCCCATCTCGATGGGGCAAGGCCAGGAGGCGGCGGCGATGAACATCGTGAACATCGCCTGGGCGAACGGCGACTGGGCGCTGCTCCAGAACTGCCACCTCGGCCTCCCCTTCTTGATTCAGCTGGAGGAGAAGCTGCGGCTGCAGTTGATGCCAGCGCAGCCCGGGGAGCGGAAGGCGGAAATCCACGAGGAGGCCCGGCTGTGGATCACGTCGGAACCGCACAACGCGGTGCCGATTGGGTTGCTGCAAATGTCCATTAAGCTCACGAATGAACCCCCGCAGGGGATTAAGGCCGGCCTCATCCGGACCTACTCGTGGATGTCGCAGGATTACCTGGAGATGTTCCGTCGCCCGGAATGGCGGCCGATGCTCTTTACCCAGTGCTTCCTCCATTCCCTCGTCGTGGAGCGGCGGAAGTTCGGCCCGATCGGGTTCAGCGTCCCCTATGAGTTCAACCAGGGCGACTGGACCGCCTCGGTGCAGTTCCTCATCAATCACATGACGACAATCGGGGAGCAGATGCGGAATCCGGTGAATCGCGATACCGTCTGTTATATGGTCTCCGACATCCAGTACGGCGGCCGTATCACCGACAACAACGACCGCGCGCTCTTCAAGGCGATCACCGAATTCCTCTACGATCCCCACATCACCAACCCCGACCGGTGCAAGGATGGAAAGGAGATGACGGAGTTCTACCCGGGCTACGGCATCCCGCTCTTCGACGACATCAACAAACACCGCGAGTTCATCCGCGAGACCTACCCCGATATCGACACCCCGGAGGTGTTTCAGATGCACTCGAATCAGGATATCACCTACCGCACGCGCCAGGCGCAGGAGGTGCTCGCGACGATCCTTGACGTTCAACCCCGCGGCGCCACCACCACGGGCGGCATCACCCGCGAGGATAAGGTGATCGCGATGGCCGATCAGTACCTCAAACTGCTGCCGGCGACGTGGACGGTCGACCGGGCCCTCCACCTCGGCGATCGGCAGCCCCTTTCCATCTTTGCCGGGCAGGAGATCGATCGTCTGTTGACGACGATTCAGACGGTGCGAAGGACCTGCCAGGACCTCAAACTCGCCGTCGCGGGGACGATCATCCTGACGCCCGCGCTGCAGGACGCCCTCGACAACCTCTACGACGCCCGCGTTCCCCCGCTGTGGGTGGCGGTGGGGTGGCCCTCGCCGAATATCTCGCTCTGGATTAAAGAGGTGGTGCAGCGGTACGAGCAGCTCAACAGCTGGGCGTCTGTGGGGCGGCCGCCGGTGTACTGGCTCGGGGGCTTTTTCAACCCCCAGGGCTTTTTGACCTCGGTGCGGCAGGAGATCACGCGAAGCCACAGCAACGAGGCGGTGCCGTGGGCCCTCGACAAGGTCGAAACCCGCACGGAGGTCCGCTCCTCCGAGTACCGCCCGGGGCAGGAGAATAAGCCGGAGGATCTGCGCACCGAGCGCGGGGAGGTGGTCGTCCACGGGCTCTACCTTGAGGGCGCGATGTGGGATAAGACGAACCGCCGGCTGAAGGATCCACTCCCCGGCGACCTCTTCCGCGAGCTCCCGATGCTTTTGATCTCCGCCATCAACAAGGACGCCCCACCACCTCAGCAGCCCGTCCCCATCAAGCCGGGCGTCGGCGTCGTCAAGGAGAAGAAGGTGAAACAGGAGTACTACCGCTGCCCGGTGTATAAATACCCGACCCGGTCGGATACGAACTGGATCTTCGATGTGCAGCTGCCCGTCGCCGAAGACGATGCGTACTGGCGTATGCACGGTGTCTGCTTGCTTGGCAGCATTGACTAGGCGTTCGATCGCGAATACCAATTCACAGATTTCTTTGTGGCTACTTATTTTCCCCCAAGAAGTTTGAAGGAGGGACTGCATAACAAAAGGAAAACGAGGGTCACCGTCTTCACTGAGCTTCGTTACTTCCTCCCTATTTTTATTTGTTTCCAAAGCTTCCGTATGTTATACTTTTAACTCGCTTATCCTATCGTAGCGAGGATTCGAAGAAAAAGAAAAGAGGGAACCGAAAATATAAGTGGTTCTCTTCTTTATTTGTTGTTTCCCTTTACAAGGTATGGATGTCATGAAATGTGTTGCACCATGCAACGGCTTTTCCAAAAGCTCATAGAAGGGCCAATCGCCGACAGGAAGGACGGAACTTTACTATTTTTAAGAAACGCAAAAAGGAGTTAAAGTGGAATGACCCCAATTAAGCCGAATGATGTAGTGTAAAATTTAGTACTCCTTATCAAGGCTACTGCGTCCTCTTCCTTTATGTAGTCATGTAATGCACGTCTGTCTATTTTTCCTTCTTTATGTACAGAACTTCCAATGTTAATGATGATTTCATACTTGTGCACGCATACTTTGGTTACGTATGTGGGGAAATATTCCGCTTTGCGAATATGGGCACGCATACGCATGGCCTTGTGCATTGAATCCGCTCTCTTAATTAACGCTCTCACGTTTTATTTCCTCTTTTCTTTTAGTAAGAAGGGTACAAAGGTAATTTACGTCTTACTTCATTTTCCAAAATGTCTAGTGGTGAAAAGGGTATCACAATATTTCAAAAAAAGGTGATAATGGGAGCTCTCCATTTACTCAAATGATTTCATGATGGTTAGGTCGTATCTCTCCCCGTCCCGGAGTGCGACTATTCGTTTCTCCGCTATTTGGTTTTCTAAGCAAGCAAATGCCACTTGAAGGGAAAACTCCAGAACAGCATCTGGTCTGCAATATTGAAAGGTTTTTCAAAGTCATAACCTGAACGGACATATGAAAAAGCAAAATCGATAGTGGGATGGGAAGGGCGACAAGCAACAGAAGTAAATATATATATATATTTTTTGCTTTGCTTAAACACCAATCACCTGTTGTATTTAGTCCAACTTGACAATTATTTATGCGGAAGAAAACTGTGGTTCATCGTAACACATTTCATTCCTGTTAACGGGATGTTGGGATATAAAAAAGTAAACGACTGAGGGTATCATCCAATATTCTTTCATTCTCCCCATTGTATCAGCATAAAAATACATCAGCTCCGAAAAAAAAGTAGCTCTCACGTGTGATAATTTTATACACATTGAATTCTCTATCATGATGATAAATGCAGAAATTCGATGTGTGGCTTGTGCTGCACTCTTCCATTTATCGAATATATATTATTTATTCTGCTAAAATATTCTCTAATGCTGGATCAATGGATTACTTGTAACTGTTTTTCGGATTTTTATATCTGAAGAGACAAATGCTCACAATATGCTAAACTGGCACTCCTTTTCAGTCTCCCCTCCCCCCCAGAGTATATATGAAATTTTCAGTGGTCATAATAATTGAGACCGTCAAATACTCTCCCTCCTTATAAGAAAGAGAGAAAAAATTGAAAAATTATTACGATGTGAATTGAAAATGAATTATGCTTTAGGGATTCTTCCGCCTTTGATGGGTGAGATGGATCACTTTTGCCCTCATTCTATGCTTTTCTTGTGTTTTTGCTGTCAAGGAGCGGAAAACTCACCGCGCCACAGCCTTCTAAATCAACAATACCGTCAAAAAAAAAAGTAAAGAAGTCAAATAGCTTAGTAGGGTTGTCAAAACGGATTTATTCTGCGACCTTTTCGTGACTGTGGTGTGATAATTACTAATAGTATTCATGCTCCTTTAATATTCTTAACGTTTTCCATTTCTCTTCAAACACGAAGTGAAAAGTGAAAGTAATGCTGCGTGGCTCTGCCCTGCGTTGGGGCACACTCGTGAAAATTGGGCGAGGCTCGGGGAATGTAACGGAGTCCGCCAGCAACGCCCTGCTCGAGTCCCTCCAATCCCACGGCTACTGTTACATCCAACACCCGTACATTCAAAAGTCCATTCTCGAGCAGCTCCATCGCGACTGTCGGATCTTTTTCGAGCAGTACATCCTCCGTCTGCAGGAGGACCCCATCGCGAGCTGCAACCTTCGACGGGGCAATCGCCACAACTACAACTGCACTCCGCTCTCGGAGTACGAGCTCGAGAGCATCCGAACGCCGTACGGGTTTCGAGGATACTACCGATACGTCGGCGCGAGCGGGTTGGACGACGCGATCGACTGCTTTTCCGTCGGCCGGGAGGATATCGCGGATCCGGCGGAGCTCCGACGGGCGTACTACGTCGAGAGTGGCTGGGAGGAGCATGAGTACCTTCCCATGATCAGCCGCCGCAACCCATGGGATATCCTGCTGAACCATGTGAACGACACCGCGGGAAATCCGAACGCTGCGAACCTCAACAACAACTTCATGTCCGACTTTAAGGATATGCTCGGAGCCTTTTACGAGCTCTGCTCGGCCGTCAGCCTGGATGTGCTGCGGCATATCAGCTGTGGGTTAGGGATTCGGCCGTCCATCCCGACCGGTGGGATCGATCCCAATCAGGATTACGACCTCGAATACTTCACCCCTTTCCACGCCAAGCGGGATTGCGACCTCCAGGCGAAGTACTACCCCCGCCTCGGGCAGGCCGCGCGGGTTCGACAGGGGGTGGCGATCCAAAACCCCCAATCGACGGCGAACCCAGGCGGGGTGAAGGTGCTCCGCCGAAAAGGCGCCCGAACCCAACCGTTAGTGGCGGGAAATGGAGAGGAAGAAGGGGAGAAGGAGGGCGCGGCCGTCGTCTCACGGCTGGATCCTCATAAAGACCTCAGCACGATCACCCTCCTCGCGCAGGACTCCATGGGGGGGTTGGAGGTCTGGGATGACACGAAGGACGGCTTCGTGGCCGTTCCTGTTCTCGAAGATGCGCTGCTCGTCAACGCGGGGGTTTTCCTCGAGCGGTGGTCGGGTGGCCTCATCGAGGCGACCCCGCATCGCGTGCAGAACGTCGCGAAAGGGCGTGGGCGTTGCAGCATCGTCTTCTTCGCGATGCCGGATCACGACGCCCGGATCGAGCCGCTCCTCCAACAAGATGAGAACCCCGCAACCGACGCGCAGGATCAATTTCTCGCCGGTGATCTCATGCCGACACACTGAACGAGGGGGGGGGGGGGGGGGGAATAATCATGAACGCTAGGCGACTTACCAAAACACATACAGGGTATCGAAAAGGGGTGCTGTTTTCGTCTCCCTTATGATCTATCCCCTCCACAAGTGCGTAAAATAGTAGGCCAAGTGAAAGGTAGGGATTACATTAAATAAATAAATGTCGTCCTTTTCTGTTGTTTTCGATTAGAAATAAAGGTAAATGTTAACGATTCAAGCGTTTAAAAGGCAAACGTGTCGTGGTAATTTCAAAATGGACAGGTGAAAGGTCCATGCGCGTGGATGACTCTTTGTTGGTGGTGTTTTTGCTTGCTTTTGAGCTTGTAGATCGGTGGGGGACGTGTGCAGGTCCATTAAACCCCTGTAGTATGCTTCTTGCTTACCCAAAGGTTTCTCTTTAGGTGCCGCTGCTATGTATTCGGTGTCATTATCGACGGCATGTTTGTTTGACCATAGTGTAAGTAATTACCTTCTCGTTTTTTCCCTGTTTAATTATGGCAAGCTCTCTTCCGTTTAACACATTACCCATAGAAATATTACTGTGATTTATAGAAAACATGGAATTTACTTATCCCACAATACAAGATGGAAGACAGTGTGCGTCAATACGCTTTTCGTTTACTTATTTTTTCCCCGATAAGCTTGCATTCGGACTTCTTCAATTGTAATCTAGGGAGACAAAGACGGTCAGGGAAAACGGAATGGAGTTCCGGAGTAAACCGACACCTCAATCCTAAATATAGACTTACATCCTTGCTTATATTCTTATTTAATCTTCCCTACAAGTTTGAATTACAAATTGCTCGTGTTTAGTTGGCAATCCGTAGTTTTCCAAGATCCATAAATTTAAACCCAATAGTTTCATGATCGTAATCACCGAGATAATGAATTAAGATGGCATATGACTTCCTTTCGTTACTTTTGTGCTTTTCCTTTTTACTGTGAATTTAAGAAGTAAAAAACAAGAAAAGGGTAAAAGGTCTCTCGAAGCTCTAACAAGACTACAACACATCCTAAGAGTTCTGTCAATAGATCAACAAAAATGGATTTCATCGACGATGCCATCATTCACCCTGTTACCGCCTTTGTGAAGAACAGTCGCATGTTAATTCGCAAATGCCAGAAGCCCAACTACAACGAGTTCACGCATGCAGCCTTCATGACGCTCATTGGGTTCTTAATAATGGGATTTCTAGGCTTCTTTGTTAAACTAATATTCATCCCAATCAACAACGTCATCCTTTCTAGTTAGAATTTGATCAAAAAATAAAAAAGGTAAAGGGGAGTGTTGAAATACAGTATTATTTGTTTGTGTGTGGTTTCTGCGACTTTTTTGGGCTTTTAATGTCTTGTAACTTAAAAAGGTAACCTATATTTTTTATTAAAAAATTATGCAGTGTTCATGGGGTCATGAGGCGTCGGTGTGCGCTCTTGGTAGAGGATATATTACCCCTTTACTTTGTGAAGGGGAGGACGATGGTGTTAAATCGTGTGTGTGTCTATCATTTCCGTATGAACAGGTTTCCGTAAGGAGGACTGCATGATTGCCGGAGGGGTCGATGTACTCCTGGAAATCCAACCCTCTGGGTTCCTTCTTTTCTTCTGGTGATGGCTTGATCCCAAGGTGTTCCGTTTTTTTCTTTTTTATTTTATTTGGTGGCGCAAAGAAAGGGTTCTTGATAGGATAGGATTGAGCCGGTTGGGTCCCTTGCTTCCAGCCCCCCCCCCCCCCCTCCCCTCTGTGTGCTACATGTCGGCGGTGAAGCGCTCGCTCAACGTCGGGGTCGTCGGCCTTGGCAACCTTGGCCTGCCGATCCTGCGCAACCTCGCGTTCAAATCCCACGGCTCGCTCTACCTGCAGCTGCACAGCCGCTCCCTCGCGAAGGCCCGCCGGATCGCGGACGACCTCGGCGTCGACGGGGCCACCTGCGCGATGCGGCTGCACCACCGCTACGCGAGCCTGACGCGTTGGTGCGATGTCATCCTCCTGACGCTGCCCCACCGCGGGGCCGCCGCGGCGGTGCTGCTGGAGGCCCCGGACGCCCTCCTCCGGCACGCCCGCCCCGGGCAGCTCCTCGTCGACCACACCACCGTCGACGTCGGGCTCG